CGGCCCCACATGGAGTACTGCTCTCACCTCTGGGCGGGGGCTCCCCAGTACCAGCTCCTTCCACTTGACCGTATACAACGCAGAGCGGTTCGAATCGTCGACGACCAATCCCTCTCCGAGCGGCTTGATCCTTTGGCGTTGCGTAGAGATGTGGGGTCACTCTGCATCTTCTACCGCCTTTACCATGGAGAGTGTTCAGAGGAGTTGTTCGGATTAATACCTGCAGCTGAGTTTCATCATCGGACGTCGAGGCAGAATACGAAATTCCACCCGTATCACCTCGACGTCCGACGTTCCACAACTGAGCGTTTTTCAAGGCAGTTTTTGCCGCGCACAACCACTATGTGGAACCAGCTGCCCACTGAAGTATTCCCGAACCAATTCGACTTAGGGTCCTTCAAGAATAGAGCGTACCAATTCTTAAAAGGCTGGCAACGCACTCGCGAGCCTTCTGGCATTGAGAGTGTCCATGGGCAGCGGTATCACTTAACATCAGGTGAGCCTCCTGCCCGTTTGCCCCCCGTTCTATTAAAAAAAAAAAATCACTGTCAATAACTGCAAGGCGAATTACTCTATTTCAATTTTTTGTATTTTTCTTGTATTGCTTGCCATCGTTGATTATATGGAACGCTACGTTAGATCAGTTAGATAGCACAACACTAACTGGCCGGGCGCGCGCTCTGTGCGGTATCGGGTCGCCAGCTGCCTGTTGGGTGGGCGGGCTGAAATAGGCCCACTGCCGCTCTCAGCGGATGCACAGCAGCGTCAGTGCGTGGTAGGTCGTTAAAAGCCTGCCTGCCTGTTTTGATGGGGAAAACCTACAATTTCGACCGCAAGATGAAATATTTATTTGTCCTTGTCGAATTTTTACAAACACCTGAGATAATCAATACGCACCAGCGAGAGGGACATAGATTTCTTCGTCCGCACCAGCTGAAGTACCGCGGCAGGCCAATATCGGCCTGTTACGCAGTGAACGTGTTAACGTGAATTGAATGAACTTGCCAAGCGTTTGTATTTTAAACCGACAATTAAAACTGAAATTACATCCAAGCATTATTTAGTAGGGTTGTGAATTTTATAAAACAAACTAGCTGACCGGGCAAACGTCGTTTTGCCATATATATCATTTATAATAAAAAAATAGGGGTTGATCGTAGAGGGGTGAAAGTTAGAGGTTTGTATGTATTTTTTAATGCTGTATCATAAAAAAACAGAAAAAAATATCTAAAAATAAAAAAAAAATATTTAGGGGTGGACTACCCTTAACATTTAGGGGGCTGAAAAATAGATGTTGTCCGATTCTCAGACATACCCAATATGCACACAAAATTTCATGAGAATCGGTCGAGCCGTTTTGGAGGAGTATGGCAACGAAAACTGTGACACGCGAATTTTATATATTAGATTATAACTAGTAAGTAGGTAGTTTTATAATAAATCATAATAATTGATAACGACATATATATTACATACTTATATATGTAAGTAAGTATATATAGTGTATAGTAAGTTACGTTACTTTCTTTTCTACTGTTTTTCCGATAATGGTCAATAATATTTTAAATTATTAACAAAAACAAGTAGATCAAAGTTTTTTTAAGTTTAATGTGTAGCTTTAGTAGCTACGTAATATTATTATTTTGAAAATATACTTTTTAATCATAAAGAAACTAATAAAAAGGTGAATTTTGTTACTCACAAATTAGGTATTGAGAGAGATTGCCAGAAAAATCTTTGTTTGAGACAAGAGAAGATTTTCTGTCAATCTCAATTTTGTGTCTTATGATTAAAATTTTTTTTAACTGGGATTCTCCGAGTTCATCAAACCCTGGTCACACGCTTGATTTGACATAACAAACAATTGTGGATTATAAATTATATAATTTCCTCATTAAAACCGTTTTATGGCTTAATTTTAATCACACATGGCATATCGCTGTCCGATCGGCGCCCGGTGAGACATTGTTCGGAATGGTTGGCCTTAAGGTGGGAACTGACCAAAGTCACCTTTAAAATGTCAAAATGCCTTTCCGGCATTTTATCAAAAAATATCGTTATTCATCCAAATTGTGTCAACCCTATACCTCGGAAATTCGAGATAACCATGCATGGAGACTCAACGAGATTTAATGCTCTTTTTTTGATAAAACTGTTTCGTAAATGCCTTAAAAGTTTTTCATGTAAACGTGAACGTGACTGAACGTTTTTATCACTTGAAAACGAAGGAAAACATGTTTCCTATTTTTAGTAACAACAGTGGAATTTTTTGATGTTAAATTAAGATAAAATCCTTTATGTGTGTGTTTACTTAGGTTTTGTAAGGCTCTTAGAACCTACATTAACATAATTACTTGGATTTAAGCACAAAGACGAAACAAACAAACAGTCGCATTTATAACAGAAAAGTTACGGATAAACAGGGAAATCGGATAACAACTGGATTAGAATTAAAATACAATTTAATCATGAAACTTAAGTTCATCATACCTATAAAATAAAATAACAAAAGACAATTAGAACGTGGAACGATTGGTACACGGATCACTTACTAAGGTCTCATTACACTTTTTATAAGCTATAACGACGCCGTCGACACATCTATAATTATACCTCTAAATTAGAAATAAATATAAACAATACTTACCGTATCGAAATCTTGTACGAAACGAGAACAGCTAAATTGTGCAACAGTCAAAATTAAACCAGGTCAAACGGACACTATAACTATTCAGCACTACACATAAAATACAAGCATAGAATTCAGAATAAGGCAAATGTTATTGCAGTAGAAGTGATTAGAAGGAAGTTTTCATTAATGTTTTTCGGTTAAGAATATGGTAGATAGCAGTCGCAAGCCGGCGCGAAACACACGTCTTAACGGTTTGGCGCTTGAAGCGCGACTGAAATGTGTAACCCCGAATAGAGCTCAGAATTCAGGTCCTAGCGGCGTCGAGCGGTCTCAGGTGAGATCCTTGAATCCACTGGCTGATACGCATAAGAGCCTCTGCTAAGTAGAAGATAAGTCGGATAACTGTTTACCACGGTTTCATACATTTAGGATAAAGATTCTAAGCTGTTCGTTTCCAAGTTCCCAAATCATTTAAAAGAAACAAAATGAAATATTGCAAAGAATACGTTGGGTAAAAAGGATTCTGGCGGATTCTGAAATTTTTAATGGAAACGGTTTTCAGTACTAGTTTTATTAACAATAGTTCCTGAATAATTATCCCGGAAAGAAATAAAGTACACAGGACACATTTTCATACACAAATTTAAGTTTATTAATACACTTAATTTTTTTTTCTTGACGAGGAAAGATTCCTCGTAGCGCTCCGTGCTACGACGTTGCACCAAGATTTGACTTCTACGTAGCAGTACTACGGCATTTGATAGCTAAGCCTTAATACTGACTGACACTGATGTATTTACTGATAATATTTGAAAGCGTTCAAAGTAAAAGACTGTGTGGTATCTTTACGCTTAGGATCGATTGTTTCTTTTTACTATCGTTGTTGTTAGTGTAAAAAATATTATAGAAAACCGAGACTTCAATACTCCACTCAATAGACATGTAAACGAGTACAAAGCTCAAGCATTTTAATAATAGGCCACCCACTTTATTGCCAATGATTTTAATCTATTTTAAAAAATATATTTAGTTTTTAATTAAATGTATTTTGTACAAGAATAAATTTTGTGGTGGTTTATTAGTCTGTACATTCATGAAATAAATTAATAGTTTAATCCGATATTATTATCTCTTTTGGAAAAAGATATTTTTGGAGCACATTCATATTTTATATCTCGTATTTATTTTTACTAATTTTATTTTAAGATGTATCCGTTGCTTTCTAATGATTTACATAGTTTTTATGTGACCCAATTCGAGAATTGTATGCTTCCCTAGATTATTACGAAATCAGAGATTGAAACTCTATTAATAAAACCAGTAAACTTGGTAAACATCGAAGGTACAACATTAGAATATTCACGAACTTTCCTGTTTGCTTTGTCATTTCGCAACTGAACCTTAATACATAGAGAAATGTTTCTTTGTTCTAGATATAAACTTTTGTTACATGTGTTACCTACTAGTTTTCATTTGTAAGATATATTATTTATATTAAAATAATATGTGACATGCACGTGAACTAGCATTTGTACATTTCTATAATTAACTAGCTGGCCTGGCGAACATCGTACCGCCTAACAGTCTATTCTTTATTTTTTTTTAAATACTTATTCTGCTATTCGGGACACCGGTCTAGCTAGTAAGATAAAACAAGAAAGTTGATAAGACAACAAATACATTATGTCAAAAATAAAAATTTACCTTCCCGGAACCCCTCCACTAACACTTGAACTCTATGATATCGTATTAAAGTTCAAATTGACTTTTAAGTATTATTACGAATATTTTGTATGGGAATATAGAAAAGTTGTTTTTAGACCTTTTCACTCATTTTTTTAAATTTTTCTCTCCGTAAGAACCATCCTCGTACTTCAAGGAATATTATTAAAAAAAATCAGACAAATCAGTCAAGCCGTTTTCATGTTATGTCGTGACAACGGAAAACGGGTTTCATTTTTATATACGTATATATAGATCATAGCTTCTCCCTATAATTTTTATTTTTTTCCTGGATCGGATCGCTTGTTAGCAACAAATCCATCTGTCACCTTCGTAATCATTTCAGTTATCTGTATGTTGTAATATTAACGATGGAACGAAGCAACAAAGCGATAATAAATAAAATAAATATATATGTAAGAGTATAATTTTAAGCCGAAAACATTTTTTATTTGATTTTAAACTTAAATTGTTGAATGCACGAGACTTGTGTAAGAAAATATGTAATACAATGTTTTTTAGGATCGTAGGGATTCGCAAACATAACTGTTATAAACAGTATGTTACACGGAAATCGGAAATCAATGATATAAGCCGACTACATAATGAACTTCGTATTAAATTTGTTATATTTTAGATAAGACGTTTACTTTACTTTTTCCACCTCAGTTGCCTGGAAGAGATCGACAATAAACAGGTATAAAACCTTAAACAGCCCAGATACCTTCGTAAGTAAAAATATACGATATAATTAAAATGTATAAAGCTACATATGGGTGTTACTTACCTCTTTATCTTTTGCGTAATAGAGAGTGCGACCGCGTAGTTTGAAGTACCGTCGCTGCCATCGCTGAAAACTACGGGTCTGCTTCATCAGGTAACCCTCTCTGACCACCGGCTGGAAAAAAATTGAGATGTTTAAAACCTCCTTTAAAAAATTAACTGCTGTGTCGTACACCAAATTATATGACAAGCAATGAAAAGAAAATATTTAAAAGCAAATGAACCGCGTGTGACTGAGACTATAGTCCACAGTTCCAGGTTTCAATTGCCGGTGAAACAGTTTCTGTATCTGTCAATTTGATTCAGAACCGTGTCAGTCCCATGATTTAAGCAGTAGTTAGCATCTTCTTCTTTTAGTGCCACTCCATTACTGAATGTTGGCCGTCAGTCTCATGAAGCATGTCTGGTTCTGTGCCAGATGCAAGAAACACTTTCGCAGTCGCAGTACCCGTCCACTCCATAACGTTGCGAGGCCATGATTTTTTCCTCCTACCAACGTGCCGTTTACCCTGGATGTAACCCGTAATAATTAAGTGAAGGAGGTGGTAGCAGTCATGGCAACACGTGGGTCAGGTACGCAAATTGCCGTTGTTTAATGATCTGCATAAGTTTTTTCGACCACAAACTTAACAACTTTCTTGTTGGAGACCTTCTGGATCCAGCCTATACGAAGCATGCAAACACCACATCTCAAAGGCTTCTGAGCGCCGGATGTATCTTCTTTTATTGTCCAAGCTTCACAGCCGTACAATTAGAAGCTACTGAATTTAATAAAGTAAAAAATATCGAAATATCAAAGGAATATAGCTTTTCTCTCATTACTGATGACAATTATTTGAACTAATCTACATATTAACCGTGTTTCAAAGAAGAAAACTTTTATTTAAAAGGGAACAGCGTTATTAAAATACTTTTTTAGTGTCGAGGATACGAAAATTTAATTAAATCAAAATCTCTTGATACAAGATCTACCTATCAAATGGCTACGTATTTATTTTCATAATGGGCTTCGTAAATAAACGTTTTTAATCATGTTTTCTCATCACGAACCTGCCGACTTTGCCGTTTAATCATTAATTTGACGACCCACGGGGATGTTCCCAAATTCTTAATTAGCATCAGAATAACAACGGCGTTGGTTCGTTTGCGGTACGGTTATACGAGTAATATATTCTTTAGAAAATACTTTATTTGTACTTAAAGTGAGAAATAATATTTTGTTAATTTAAGTACGGTACAAGAGATGTACTTGTTGCGTGTTGTTCCCACGAGAATGTAAGTGCGTGCTCCTATTTCACCATGCCTCCTGCTGATAGAGGACAAATCTTTGTTTTTAAATTAGTTAATTATTATTAATTACTTAAGATGTCATGTAGAACATGGTGTAATAGTTGCAGCAGCAAACGTTGTGTAAAACAAAAGCTTGGCGATTAAAAAGAGTGGCGGTGAGTTTATCGCCAGTTCTTCTCTTCCGTTCTACGCCCTTGATTTGAGAACTGGCAGTAAATGTAAAATTAGAAGCATTTAATATATATTTATTTTTTGACGTTCATAAGTGTACATTGTGTTACCTATATAAATAATGATTTTTACTTTATTTTGACTCGTATCATGGTCACTAACATTCTATATATCTCATATGTTTTTGACTCATCATTATAATTGATATCGGGCCACAAATTAACGGGCTTTGTTACATGTGTAGAATATACGAATACATAGATTCTTTATGAAGCCTTTTAAATATTACCTATGTCGCTCTATCACATCTAATCTAATTTTAAGCTTATTTTATTCGTTAACTGGAGGCATTCATGCACGATGAAAAAAGCTTCCTCCAACTTCGATTTTGGTCCCTTTGTAGTAGAGACTCTTGGTCCGTGGGGTTCAAGTGCACAGATTTGATTGTTATGTTGAGGTTAAATTATATATATGTAATATTACGAGTATATAGAGGAAATATTAAAAAAATTCCATCACCATTAGAATCTTACATTACCCTTCATGCATATAGGCTATAGAATGTATAATATAAAACAATTGTCCAGCTAATCGAGGCCGGTAAATCTATTTTATAAGCCATTTGAAAGCGTTTCATAAATTTCAAAGAAAGAGTTATTAAGAAAGATTAGAAGATTTCAAGATATTTATTTTCAAACAGGTGAACTTGTGGGCATCAAAATATATGTATAAAAATAATTGTGACCCCATTTTATTGTACTAAAAATAATATAAAAGTTGTATATTGTAAAGTCATTGTATGCGGTGGTTGGTTTTTCCTACGAAAAGTAGAAAGTACCCCCAAAAACCATTATTTCTATAGATAGCAATAAAGCTGCGACTGGCCAGCTAGTTACTAGCATTTAATCATTCATCTGCTTAAACACCTACTAGAGAACAATAATAAACTAATTTATTTACTGCCGTCGTTGTATACGTCCCAATAAAACGAAACATCAAGATCAACGACCTAGTCACAGATTACATGCTTAGTAGTAATACTAATGTAGATAATGAAGTGACTCAAGTTTTTTTTTTAATATTTTCTAGATAATTCTCCGACTATGTTGTCGTCGGAGGTATTAATTAACTTACGTAAATGGTATTGGTAACCTATTTATTTTAACTACTTTTTGTATGACCTTTACAGCAAATTCCAGAAAGATGCCTCTTAAGCTAATATTGAATATTATTTCCTTCAAATTTATCTCTATTACTTTTATTCCCACGCTTGTTCAGAGTTATTTATACCCGTCGTATCCATACATTGGACAGTCGGTCAGAAAATGTAACACCGTCTCTTCAGCTGTCTTGCTCCTAGGACAGGCAGCACTTTGTGACTTGAGCTTGTAAATGTACTAATATTTCTATACATATTAGAAAAATATAATATTTTTAAATATAGTTTATACCTTAGTCATACTTTAGTACATATCCTGATTTATTGCGGTTCTCCCCTTCCACGAAGTGGAGAACCGCAATAAATCAGGATATCCATTATAATATAAAAATTATCATAGTAGCGAAAACCTTTCAAGCTTTCAGAAAAACTAACGAGAGCTTACATGACAAAGCCATTCCAGTCTTCTTCTCTTATTCTTTTGAGCTACTGTTAAATCTATATTCTGTGACCTAATATCATGCTCGTTGTACGTGCTGGCCAAGTGCCAGCATACGCGGAATATTTGATTTAGCGATTCGCTCCGGTGGGCCTGATAGATGACACAGCCAGTTTAGGGACGATGAATGACCTCAAAAACTCTTACGAAACCCAAATTTGGCGAATCATCTTTCAGCACTCTTTGTCAAGAAGAAGATACATAACAGCTGTAGTTAGTATAGTACTATTAAACTTCTTAACTCGCGAGCAAAATCAAATAATCCTTATTAAATGTACACTTTTCGCTGTTTTCTTCGTGTCCCTCGTCAGTGCCGCACGGGGCAGTCATATTTGTGTCTGCTTATTATTATTTATTGATCAGTGGTGATCTGTTTTCTGTACTATCCGGGCTCTAAGCAATTATACAATTGAAATACAACCCAGAAACTCTGCGATAAACGTTACGATAACTAAGCCACAGATGGGCCGTAAAAAATTATGTTTATTATTCATAAGTACTTACTAATTCATGAAATTATGGCACCTGTAAAGAGCTTAATAAAACCTTTATTTCAGGCTGTAACAAAAAGACTCAAAATCCTTGTCTCAGGTGAGCCGCGGTTAAACCAATTAGCTGAGTGTCGCGTCCCATTTCGTGAAGTGCGGAACAAACTCGGGTGACCCACTTCTAAATTGCGACGTAACATTGCGATCCCGAATTTTAATGACATGCAATGTATTTTTTTTTGAAGACGGTGTTGATTTTTGCCATATAGATAGGTGTTTCGGGTATAACCAGTTCTACTCCCGGTTGTCACAATTATTCAAATATGTATGGACAAAGTATGCAGTTTTATTTCATTTCTTTGAGTTATTTTTATTTCCGAACCAATTTGACTTAGGGTTCTTCAAGAAAAAGCGTACCAATTCTTAAAAGGCCGGCAACGCACTTGCCAACCTTCTGGCAATGTGTCCATGGGCGCCGGTATCACTTAACATCAGATGAGCCTCCTGCCCGTTTGTATCCTATTACATAAAAAATAGGAAATTGTAATATTTCCGTATTTTTACTCATTTATTTAAAAAAATCATTGTGAATAGATTGCACCGCATATATGTATAAATTAAACCTTTATTATAGCTGTTCTGCTATAGTTAATCTTTGATAGAATCTCTTTGTACGGTAGTGTAATATAATCAAACGATTCTTTAGTAACATTTTTCTGTAACACATTTTTTTGGTAGTTAAATTTGTAAGCTAGGAAGGACGAAGTTTACCTCTCGCTTTTCACCAAAGTACTATTAATATTCAGCCCTTACAATATATAGAAATAAATATAGGCCAAACACCAACAGTACAACGCAATAAACTGATCCAACGCAAACAAAACAATCTTAATTTGTTGCTTAATTGTTTCACCTTCAGAAACTTTCAAAGCATTTCACAAGTTCGCTTGCGAAAATTTCTCGATAATTATAAGAAGGAATCCGTAAATATCTTATATTCAATAAATATTATTTCTTATATTACTTATAAATTTTTTCTATCAAAGGGACTATAGAATGAGCTTTATTCTTTGAGGGATTTATCCTTTTCCTCTAATTTATAATGAATGTGGCCCATACTCCTACACCGCGGGCTGCTTATGGCATCACGCACCGCGCAAGATCCATTATAAAAGTATAAGGCAGTTGAATATATTAATTCAATATTAAATTGAATATATAGTAGAATTGGAACAGCTTAGAATAAAGTCGCCACAAAGCGGCTGCGAGTCTGTAATTAAGTAAGTAAATAAATGAATCGCTTTTTTGCAAAGAAAGTGGTACATTCTGATTGATTAACCAATAAAAAAACGCACAATCAGCCATATAAAGCATGCATATATCATATCATAATGTCATAGTAATAAGAACAGTTAACTTAGTATTGCTACGTTTCCTTTATACGAGTATAACCATACGTGCGTCAACTTGAGAACAAAAGAAAAATCTTGAAGCAGCACTATTGCCTA